AGAAAAGATTGTAAATTCGTTTTTCATTTTCCTTAGAAAACCGTTCTCCCCCCCCCCCCTACCCCCTAAATATAAGGAATTCTTTCCGGTGCCCCTCTATAGGTAGGCTCGCGCTACCACTGGCTATACCAATAATTATATTTCAGCAGTCTTCGTTTTATTTTCTAACTACCATGGAATTTGTGATTGTAATTATTTTAATTGTGTAGGATAGTCTTATAAAAGCCAACCTCATGAAGGGCTTGAGGAGTCTGCATATGCTAAAAAAACTGAACAACAACAACAATATCGACGAAATAATGATGAGGTCTTATCAGATTTGAAAAGGAGCTGGGGCCGGATTAACTGATAATTAGGGAAGTACATCTTTCGACAACCTCTCGAACAACGGTGTCGATATGTATCCGTGGTTGGGAGGGATGATAGGTGCCAAAATATTGTCGGCAATGGATCCAAGCAACCAAGAGGTAGAAGCGTGTGGCAGGTTGCACCCCCTCCCTTACAAGTTATTAACTTTTTCAAGTAACCCTCAATAAAGATAACATTTCAGAGAATATGGGACCCATGTGCGTCCCACATGGGCTTGCAACTTGGGTTATTATCCTCTCAAGCGCGTAGCAAGGATTTTATTTAAGGGGGCGGTAGTGAGCACGCGAAGCGTAAGGAGCGCGCTCCCTAGGGGGTGGGTGCAGGGAGGGGGTGTTCCCCGTCCCTTGCGAAGCGCGGAAGCTTTGATATTTCATTAATTAGAAGACGATTCGTTGTACCGTTCTCGACTCTTAATCCTTGTCTAAATTCAGTTTCTTTTGATGTTTCATTAATTATTAAGAAAAAAAGACGTTTCGTTTTACCATTCTCGACTCTTAATCCTTGTTTGAAACAAGTTCCCCTTCCCCTGCGCGTAGCGCAGAAGCTCTGACATTTCATTAAATTATAAAGAAAGAAGACGATTCGTTGTACCATTCTCGACTCTTAATCCTTGTCTGAATTCAGTTCCCCCCTCCCTCCTGCGCGAAGCGCGGAAGCTTTGACGTTTCATTACATTATTAAAGAAAGATGACGATTCGTTGTACCGTTCTCGACTCTTAATCTTTTTTCTTCCTACGTCCTCTTCCTTTCTTATTTCTCTCTCCCTCTTTTTTTAGGGGGGCCGGCATTTTTTTTTGGGGGGGAGGGGGACGACCTCCCCCACCGCCCCCACCCCCACCTGGCTACGCGCCTGTATCCTCTCTGTCTCTCATTATCTCTCTCTCCCACTCTTTACTTCTTTTTTGCAGTTTTGCGCTTCGCGCTTAACATTTAGCTCGCTGCTTTTTAACGCTGCGGCTTTGCATTTGGCGCACTGCATTTCTATGATGCTGTCGATTGAATAAATTGAATAAATTGATCAATACCTGATGAAGCCGTATGAGCGAGAATTCAATTTATTCTTCTCTCATATACAGTTGTCTTATTTACTTCGTATATATCTATGTATTATGAAAATGAGATAGCAAAATGTGTATATTGATGGTCATCTTGCGAGTAATAACCATTAACTACTATCATCAGGCTCAGGGGGGGGGGGGGTGATTGTACAGGCCACCCCCCCCCCACCTGAAATATTGGGGGATTTATCCCCCCCCCCCCCATCCCCCCGGGATCGACACCCATGCTCTCGAAGTTAAATGACGAATTACAAAAAGAAAGCAAATAAGAAAAAAAGTCACACGTTGTTCGAAGTTCAATGTGTAATTGGAAAGATAAATGTTGTACGACGTGTCATTTTATAGATCGGATAAGCTTCACTTTATGGGAGACTAGACTGAATAGAATTGTTAACGAAAGGAAAGCCGATCAATCTTTCATTAAGCTACGGTCACAAAGGTTCGTACGAACGATTATTTCGTACGAATCTCCCTGTTTTTCCATTGTCTTCCCGAATTTCCATTGTCTGAAAATCGTTCGTACGGCGTTCGTAGCAGTTCGTAATGGCATTTGTGACCGAGGCTTTAACAAACGCTCATCCCTGCATATTCAGCCAATGTCACTGGTGTTTGAAGCGAATGGAAGGCAGCCGTGTAAGTAGCAATATTCTAACATTTAAGGGTAACAAATACGATGCTATAGTCACCTGGGATGGTACAACTTTATGATCGCTGTCATATCATTCAACTATCTTAATTATCTTAAATTTTCATTTGTCTTGGACTACTTAAAAAGACGCTATAAGGATATATTTATTAGAGTTAACATTAACTAGGATTTGTATATATTCCTAAGCTCTTATTGATGATTTTTTTTCTTCTTCTTTGAATGTTGGATATTATAAATTCTCATCACAGCTTTTTTTGTACATGTTATTTCAGATTTCCCCCCCCCCCCTGCTCACCATATATTGCTTTTTTATTGGTATTTCATATTGAAAGGCTTCCTGAGAGAAGTTTCAATTGTTGTAAAGAAATGTTTGGCTTGCACACATTAAATAAAGATCACGTGCTCGATCTTGTAATTAAAAACAAGTCAGAAAAAAATCTTGGAACTAGCGGGATTTGAATCCGCGATCTGCTGCTTGCCGGACAGCAACCCTACCTTCAGGCCAACACCTGTCCACGACACAGTCGCGATGAACTGGAATTAAATACCTCAGCTCTCTTGATTCATTCTGATCATTAGTATACCACCACAGTTGGATTTGGGGCGACGGGATTTCAAAATACATTTTAGTACCCCCTCCCCTGACAATCACAATTTGTGTCGTCTTACATAAGAGTTTTCAACTGTAAGTTGACGAAATTTTATGTAAGACGACATAAATTGTAACATCGAAATGCTTCGGTCACACAAATTCAAGGGTAGTGGTTGTAATTCATTAAATACACAATCGCTTGACTAAATTTTCAATTGAATAATTTTTCCAGCGTTTTGTAGACACGTGTTCGTATGCAGATTCATGGGACTAGATCCAACACCCCCTCCCATCGAAAAAAAGATCGCAAAAGAGGAATCATATCGATATCGTACCCGCCACCTTCCCCTACGTTAGTCAATTGAGTCAGTGGTTCGCCCGTTGAGGGGGGAGGGCGGTTAACGGCCTTATTCGCAAAAAAAATACGAACAACTTCTTTTATCTGTCAGCAAGTTTTGTCTTTCTTTGTATTTCTTCATCACTTTATTGGCGGCAAGGGGCACGTAACTTCTATAGCTAAACCACTGAGATTCGTTAAGGAGGCCAGCGGGGCTTTCAAAATCAAGTTAATTAAAACTAATTTTCCCCCCTTCCTTCCCCGCCACTACCACCACAGTGACATTTTGGGGCGACGGGTAAGTTTCAGGATCTCATCCCATGAATGGCAATTTGAAATCCGTCCCTGATATATAATCATTAACAAATCACTGAATATGTAGGGTGTCGATGTCTTGTGGATACTTCCCTAGATTGTGGATCACATGGTTCACGCTTCAAGTCCCACCGCGGCAAGAATTAACGATTACAATATCTTTGTTTGCCCAGGGGAGCCGCATCAGCATCATACTTCTTTGGCAAGACATTAATCGAAATTTACCACTTTCTAACCAGATGAAACATGATAATTCGCAATATATCAATGTCTATGTAAGAAGCTCTGCAATATAAATTGCGTATTTATTTTGGTAGTAGTAGTAGTAATGATATTAGTAGTGATAGTAGTAGTAGTAGTAGTAGTAGTAGTGGTAGTACTAGTAGTAGTAGTAGTAGTAGTAGTAGTAGTAGTAGTAGAAATAGAAGTAGTAGTAGGGTAGTTGTAGTATTATTATCATTATTATCATTAATATTTTTTTTTGTTATTATTGTTGTCGTCGTTAATATTATTATTATTATTATTATTATTATTATTATTATTATTATTATTATTATTATTATTATTATTATTATTATTATTAATATCATTATTAGTATTGTTAATATTATTATTACTATTATTATCATTACTAGTAGTAGAAGTAGCAGTATCATTGTCATCGGTATTACTCTCGGAAATGAGTTGGATAAAACCTTATCCAACTAGCATGTACGTTCCTTATTGACCCAGTAATTGGTAAAATCTGACTAAACGCATTTTAGAGTGCATTCTTGTTATCATTTATAATCATCAAATTGTTGTTATCATTGTTATTTTTACTTTGATATTAGTAATATTATTTATATTACTATTATTTTAATTATTATTATTATTATCATTATGATTATTACCATTAATACTATTATTATCATTATTATTTTTGGTTTCATAATCATAATCATGCTCAATAAGATTTATTATCACAATCAGGGACGGCGATCCCGGGGGGGGGGGGGTTAAATACCTACAACCCCTGGGCTTCTGGAAAAACGTTCCCCGGAGCCTGCTTCCAACATGTAAGAGTGGGGATGATGCGGATTTGTTTCTTCTGCCCCCAAACATTTTGGTTATAACGCCATTGCTCTCTCATCCCTCGCATTTCGTCCGTCCCCCCCCCCCCCCGGTCATGAAAAGAAATCGCCGCCCCTGATCACAATCATTGTTTTTGTGGTTGTTGTCATTTTTCGGTTTATTATATTCTTCACTGCTATTACCGTTATTGTTTCCCTAATCATGGCTTTGTATTCATTATCTGTAACTCAGGGCATCACCATGTCTTTACGCCGGACCCTACATCATTTGTGCAACATACGCGTAGGAATCAAGTCAGCACTGCTTCTCATACTAGCATGCATCGTACTACACACAATATTCCTCGTTCTGATACGGAACGGCTACCTATTGCCCTTAAGAAGACACGGAGATGCCGCAGACAAAAAGAAACATGTTGACGATTCATCTAATAAACAATCAAATTTAGCGCATTTGGTAAGCAAAAATACGGAAGTTAATTTTAGTGGAGAGGATGACAGAGTGAGAGCGACAGACCAGATTCAGCATGATGATGATGAAAAGCATGTTCTTGAGGAATTTACGAAAAAGAGTTGCATCCAATATGTGTCTATCTATACGCCCCACATGGGGCCTTTTCATGCATGGCGTGAATATGTGGATCTAGAACAGGCTTTTAAAGAGGCGAAGGAAGTGAATAGTTCGCACTACGATAGCAGGATTGTTCAGCAACGAGATTTCCCGACAATGTTTATCGAGTGTCCCGAATACCGATGTGACGTGGCCCTGTCACCGACTACGGATGAGCATTTCCTGGCGGAGAGCGATGCTGTCCTGCTCAACTTTGCGCCTCAGGTGCTCCGGTATAAGATGCCCAAACTCTCAGAGCGACTCATCAAGAATCTTCCACGACGAGTCAAGATCTTCTTCTACGCCATGGAGAGTCCGCTAATGATGACTCACTGGGACTACACGATAAAAGACATCCAGTATCACTACACGATGACTTATCAGTCCGAAAGCGATGTCTATTTCCCGTACGGTCAGTACGTTCCCGGAAAACCGATGGACACCGAGGTAATCAACTACGCGGAGAACAAGACAGGTCTTTTGGTCTGGACGGCCAGCAATTGCAACAACACATTTTGGCCGCGGTTAGGTTGGGTGCGGAACCTGGAGAAGCTCCTGGATTTCGATACCTACGGTAAATGCGGCAAGCTGACATGCCTCCCGCCGTTGTCCCCAATCTGTACCAAGCAACAAAGAGTGTACAAGTTCAACCTCGCGCTCGAAAATGCTCCTTGTGATGAGTATGTCAGCGAGAAGGTCTGGACAAACAGTCTCATGAGCGGTCTTGTACCCGTAGTCTACGGTGGCAGACGCGAAGCTTACGAGCGCGTCCTTCCTCCGAATTCTTTCGTCCACGTCAGCGACTTTGCCTCTCAGCAGGAGCTCGTTGACTACCTTAAGATGATCGATAAGAACGATAACCTGTACAACGAGTTCTTCGCCTGGCGGAGAGAGGGTCGGGTGGAGCAGGTCTATCCAGATCTGTACCCGGAATCTTTCTGTCGGGTGCTTCCGAAGCTGTCAAAGTACAGCTCACCTCCGGTCAAGAGAATTGGAGATTCCAAATACTTTCAATCGTGCCGAGGAGATATCAATGGAAACTTCACCGAACAAGGAGATATTCATAATTGGAGCCCTTGGAGATAGCGAGCAAAAGATAAAGTGTCCTACGTCTAATTTCGGGAAATTCTTTTATCGATAAATATGGTTTGTTTTTAGCCGATTGATTCAAGCATCAGTTTATTATCATCATCAATAAGGGAGTTTACAGATAGCACATGGTACAAATGACCCCAAATATCCACAGATCGTTTACACATGGAGAAGTTCCACTTTGAGCACCTTCAAATAATAACTGCCAAAGTCCTAGATGTGCTTGAAAATAATACTTCCACCTGCGTATCATAGAATATACCGTTGGTGCATAAATGAATAATGTAACATAACTTTCATGAGCGCAGATCCAGTGTTCATTCCTGTGGGTTTTACAATTTTGGTATAAATGATCTTTATCTGCCCATGCGAAGATTGTATCTATGAACTGGCTTATTGCCGTCACATGTGATTGAGAAGTGAACATAAAACTTCAATCACGACGAACCTCGTGTCTCCCTTTCCCTTAATAATGATTCATTTTGGATGTGCCTTTGTATCTCTTTACCCTTCATTTCATCGTGGCTTTTATCGCAATTTACGAAGGTCAGCTTTTTTAGGTCAGCCATGGGATTTTTTTTTTTTTTTTTAATCAAAAAAAAAAAATCCAAGGGGGGGTTTACACACACAAAAATACCAAAGTGGGGGTTTAACACCCCTCCCCCCTCCCCCCCCCCCCCCCCCCTGTGTACGCGCCTGCGTGCGAGTACCGCGATTTTGACAAATTTTGACAGGCATTTTCACTTTTATTGACACTATTCCATGTCAAAATGTTAGCCTATGGTAAAGTGATTTATTTTTAATCTGCCAAAGGGTTAGAACGTGCAATAACTGTTTAAATATTTAATTATTTAACATTACGTAGCGATAAAATGGAGATATTGTCAACTTGACAAGACGGTTAACATAGTTAAGAATAAAGCTGAATGAATGTCAATATCATTTGTGAAGATTACATTATTGTGTTGATGTTTAAATTGTGTACACTTCAGAGCTTTAAGAGTACATCTTTAAAGATAATAAACACATACATCAAATACATTTTATCACAATTTAGCTATTATAAACGCATCAAATAATGATATATTTTCTTTTCGTACAGTTTCAAACTGTTTATTTTTATTTAGTTAGTATCTTTTAAAATCTAAAACATAACGTTTGCTTTTTAAGTTTGACGTGTTTAGATTAATATATTTCCTATAAATCGTGCCCAAGAACAGCTATTAGAACCATCTTTAGTATTACAGGTGTTGTTAAGCCTATGAATTTCTAAAAACGTACAATTGCAATAATTTGTATATAGCTTAGCCTATATTTGCTCCTACAACAATAGATCCGGACTATACTTCGTCAAAGGCTTTTTTAATCAGTTTTAGGTTTAGTTTAGGGTGTAAGAAGTAGGTGTAGTGCTTGGGTCCATGCATGGTCAAAGTTAAGAACTCAGTATTGCCGTGTATTATTGTCGCAGGAGCAATTGCTGCATAAACTTTGTATTTCATACTCGAACTTTTCTTATTAAACATTAAATATAACGGTGAGTTCTGGTAATGCGATTGCATTGTGAAAGAAAAGGTGTGGAATGGATCAGAAAAAGTTGATCATGTAGCATGTAAGTATTGGTGTGTACTGCAAGGTTCTGGGGTCATCAAAATCATAATAAATTTGGCCCATTCTTGGTAAAGTAACAAGCACTGTACACAGAAAGATGTATATGGAACTACACAAATGGTGTCGGGGCTACTATACCTTGATTTCCTCATCTTTCTATGCTCATTTCTCAGCCAGTATACATTTTCTCCCAAAATTGTTTGACACATGACATTTATTTGTAATCTTGAACATTCAGTGTAAGTTTCGTTTGATTCTGTGAGAATTCAAGTTTCCTTTTTTACCAAAACTCAAGTTTATCTTTAAGCTTGGTAGTCACGATTTGATTATACATATAAATCTTTAATTAGGCTCCTCGACTTCCACTGGTGTTTGTACGTCCTATTAATGATTTACAGACAGTCCGATTATTACTCGACAACTAAATCATGGGAGATGTTGTTGATTTTGCCATATTTAATCGTAGTCAATCATTCGTAGACCGGCAGTCATGAAGGCCATTGCCATGTCACAGTGGCATTACAAATGTCTTGATTCTTTTTTATTCTCTCTCTCTCTCTCTCTCTCTCTCTTTAAAAAATTCTTAATAACAAGAAACCTTAATGTACAATTGTTATTAAAAATATTTAAAACATACATGTGTTATGTACACATATTTGACAATCATTTATTAACGTTATTTTTGTATTTTTTCGGATTGGCAGGAAATTCTCGTTCAGCCAGTTATGAAATATTTGTCCAATTAAAAGTTTAAAAGTAAAACAAGAAATCAGTGCTTTATTGTATTCTTTCTTCATATTATTTATGTCGGGTGAAATTATATTAGTTTATGAGCTATTTAACGACAGTTTTCCTAGATCAGACATATCTGTTATTCATAACGACTCAAACACAACTTATGAATAGAAGGGATTCGTTAAACTGCATGTAAGAGAGAATGATAAAAAATACAGTCGTTTTCCATTATTAAGAAATTATCTAAGAAAATAATATGAATACATTTTTAAAACGTGTAACAGATAAACAGCAACATCTGGAGGGAAAGGTGGAGAGAGAGGGTATACTGTAGAAAGACAGAGAAGGGAGAGGAGGCATTTATTAACAAAGAGAGAGAGAGAGACGATGAGACATTATCGTTGAAAGAGATAGGAGGGGAGAGGAGAGGAGAATGCTGTGGAAAGTGGGAGATACATGCAGACAGAGAGGAGAAGAGGATACTTTTGGTAGAAAGAGAGACGGATTGAAAGAGTAGGAGTATTTATGTATGGAAGAAGTGAGAGGGTGGTATAAAGAAGGAGAATATCCGTTCTTATTTCCCTCTACCGGTATAATTATTTGTCTTATGTTATATATGTTTGTAATCTATATTATGTCAATATGTCAATCTCTAGTTTTGTATGAATGTTATGTTATTTCATGAGTTCCTTGTATTTTTGTTTAAAATCACAAACTTGTTATGTCGTCCTAGAGGGCATACTTGGAAAGCAGTTTTGTTAAACTGAATGTACCTACCCTCTATTTTAAATAAAACTTGAATAAATAAATAAATAATAGTGTAGGAAAGAGTGGCAGCGGAATGAACATTACACGTTAACCTCAAATTACATCTGAAGTGTGAGTCAAAAAAAGTTTACACCTAATTACAGCTAATTTTTTTAAAATCATCTATGAACAGTAAATTATTATACATCTTATGAAAGAGTATTTCATCCCAAATCAGTTGGTATCATTTTTGTGTGGTATGTGTTCACGCTTGTATGAACAGGAGGCATTGTTTGCGAGAGTGCAAAAATCGACTTGCGCCAAAGTTGCTTTTGTGATGTTTTGAATAAAACAACTGGGATTTTTGTATTAATCCGGTCTTTGCAGAACCAAATAACATTCCTAACAAAATTAATCATGCCACACATATTAGATATCGAATATCAAATATCAACGAACATTTGTGCGCGCGTATGTATGTTTTTGTGACTTTGCTTCTGCAAAAAGCATATGCAATGCATTTCATTTGATACATTCAATTCATTCTCTCACTCTGCTAATATAATCCCAACATAATACATACTGTAGGCATCACTTTGGTGCAAGTCGATTTTGGCACTCTCGCAAAACAATGCCTCCTGGTCAACCAAGCGTGAACACATACCACACAAAAATGATACCAAATGATTTGGGATAAAACATTCTTTCATGAGATGTATAATAATTTACTGTTCACAGATGATTTTAAAAATAATTAGCAATTTTCTAGGTGTAAACTTGTTTTCTTACTAACACGGTACATATCATTTCAAGAA